AGGGCCTCTGCTTGGGGTGAAGGTGAAGATGCTGCCTTGTAGTTAGAAGTTGGATCGCCAAAGCCTAGAGGAATAAATACCTTGATCAATAATTGACCGGCCTTCCAGGTTGGAGGCTGAGGCATTGGACTAACTCTCCAAAACTTGGGAAAAAGATCTACTGTTAGTATTCAGCTGCAGAACAATAAATGGATCAAACGAAGACGACATATAAGCTACGAAAACGGACAATGAAATTCTCTATTTGCAACCTGCAAGGTTGGGACAAACAAAATAAAAAAAAGTTTTCGTCGAACTCCAGAAATCAGACATCGCCCTGGCTGTTATAACGAAGACAACAAAGAAAGGTGAAGATTCTGACCACTTTTACTTTTATAGCGGTGTTCCTAAAGATAAACGTGCTCAAAAAGGTGTATCTACCCAGATCTCAAAAAAAACTAAGAAAGTGCATAACTTCATCATGGGATCCTTGGATTCTAGAATCATAAAGATGAACCTGAAATTAAATGCACATAATATGTGTATTTAATTTTTAATTATAATATCATAATCACGATATTGGGAATATAATATGCACTGGTAAACGAGAAAATAGTTATTTATGATATAAGTGCTAAAAGTGACATTTTATTTTGTGAAAAGGGAAGTTTGGGACACGACGCCGAAGGCGGAGTGTTCCATCCCTTTGAACAAAATAGAATCACTTTTAGAACGAATATCATACACTATTTTTTCTACAAACACTGTTTACAAGTCCAAATTAACGCATCCTTGAAATCCTCAATTTCAAATCTTTCATCTAATTTATTTATGAAATAGGTTGCTGGCAAGAAAAAAAAACGAATTTGTTTATTTTTATTTGTCATCTCTGTTTGTCATTGTTGATTAGTAACGTCAAATAATCACGAATTTTTGCTTAAGGTTTTTGCACAATTTTTGGTTTTTGCTAAAAGTGATTACTTTTAGCACTAGTGCTAAAAGTAATCACTTTTAACACCAGTGTCATAAAATGGCATTTTAGACACTGACAGCATCCGTTAAAAATGACACTTTTAGTGACGTTTGTAGAAAAACGAATTTTTTGAACAAGTAGGTACATCGAGAAATAACAAACCGTTTCAACAACTAAAATCCATAATTAACAACTTGATAGTACGACAAAAAACTAATTTCCAAGAACTACGATGTCAGAGTTCACAGGGGACCAACCTGCGGCAGTGACCATTATCTTTCAAATGCCAAAATTGCTTTTCCTCATGAAGAACCAGTTGTCCATCCTCGATAACAAGATGAAACTCAAAGGCCCATCAAAAACAACCTGGAGAGCTTGAAACATGAAAGTACTAGACATCTATATAAAAACTGACTCGATAAAAAATTCGAAAATTTCCAAAGCACAACAGAGCATTACAATTTCATTAAAAGTTGCTTAAATGAAGCCGCAAAAGAATCATTGGGGTATACTTTGAAAACAGCGGCCGCCAAAAATCCTATTGGTATGGGATGAAGAGATATCAAAGGAAATAAAGTAAATTAAAAAAACAAATCTATGGAAAATATCTTAGCACTGGAACAGAAAAACCACACAGAATTATGTAAACAAACACAAACGAGAGTAGGTGTGTCACATGATCACAAAAAAGAAATACGAAGCATGGGAAAGACGCTGTAATAGATTAAACTGTTATATAGGAGGAGCGCAAAGTACTGAAAGCTGGAGATTTCTAAAATCTTTAGGACAAGAAAATACCAAAGGAATCATATCTCTGATGATTACTCTAAATGAGTGTGATAAGTACTTTGCCACGTTACTCACTGAAGACCGTGAACAGTTCACAGAAGGACCCGAGAACGAAAGAGAAGGTACAAGTATTTGCCTCGCCTATCAGAATCTCTGTTAGGGAGGAGAAAGACCCAGTGATATACCAGCAGAATTATTAAGGTATGGTATGCCAAAACTATATGAAAACCTAAGGAGACTCTTTGAAAACTGCTTGAACAGCGGAGAAGTACCATCTACCATCCTTATGGAAACTGACCTTTATGTCAACCATTCATAAAAAAAGATATCAAAGAGGGAAGCAGGGCCACAGTAGATATACCATCTATTCTGTATCACACAACTTGGTGCGAAAATGACGGCAGTGAACAAGAAATTACATCTCCTTTATGTAGACTTGAAAAAAATTTGACAGCGTCTCTTTTACTCTTAAAACTAGAAACATATATACAATACAAACCTAATAAAAGCGGTCCAACAACTAAATATATAAAAACTTTCAAATGACAATAGAAATCGGCAACGATGTTTCAAAAGATTTTTCCCCGATTTTTCCCCTAAACAAGTATGTTGCTTGTCATCTACACTTTTCAAAATCTTTCTCGAAAAAGCGCTTTCAAATTGGAAACAAAAAATGCAAAGGGATGGGCATACGCCAGAATGAAAATATTCGATACACATTGAGTTTTGCAGACGACCAAATAGTACTGGCACAGGATAAGGAAGATCTAGAATACATGACAAGAAAGCTTGTTAAGGAGTATTGAAGGTGCATGTGGGTTAGAAGCCAACATAACAAAAACTGAATACATTTGCATAGGAGGAACACAACAGAATATGACGCTGGAAGATAGATGCACACCGAAATCGTGCAGAAAATACAAATACCGCAGTCTATAATATAACAGTAAGAAACGAAAGAATACGAGACTCCTCGCACCTAAAAGTACGCTTTCGCAGCTTGGAATGTAAATAACTATTACAGTTCTACTTAAAGTACAGGGTGTCTTTAGATAAACTGACACATTTTGCAGGAAAATACATACCTCTAAAATGAGAAAAGATAAGGAGATGCGGTTTGTTCTCGGAGAATAAGGATTTTTTGAATTTTTTTGTTTTTCACAGCATTGCTGAACTCTAAAATTTGATGAAATTTGAATTCACAGACACGCGATTCTTTGAAATAAAAATACTGTCTTATTTTATTAAACACAAATTAATTATACATTTTTGTGAGAAAAAATTCATAATTCTCTCTGTTTTTTTTTTGATAAAAATACCCTACTTAATAAATCCTGAAAGTTTGAAGTCTCTCTGATAGCTTGAAATATTTTTCTGAAACTTCCAGAGGTGATTTATTAATAGAAATTTTGTATGATTTCATTGCATCTAAGTGAGAAACAAATCCATCTCTGAGCCCCACTCGCAGTTTGTTTTCTTTGATGAAAAAAACCCTCCTTCTCAATAAATCCTAGAAGTTTGAAGTCCATCTGATTACTTGAAGTATTTTCCGAAAGCTTCTAAAGGTGATTTAATAGAAATTTTGTACGATTTTATTGCACCTAAGAGAATAAAAATCATAATTCCATCTCTGAGCCTGAGATCCACTAGCAGTTTGTTTTTTCCGATAAAAAGACACTAATCAATAAATCATGAAAGTTTGAAAGCCCTCAGATTGTTTGAAGGAAGTATTTTTCAGAAGCTACCAAAGGTGATTTGATAGAAATTCTCATGACAAAAAGACCCTACTCAATATATCCTGAAAGTTTAAAGTTTTTGATGGTACCCTCTTCAAGAAAGTACATTTTTTACGATGTGATTTCAAGGTAATTGAAAAAAATTATAAATTTTTATAAAGGATAAAAAATCAGGCTGTCTGACGATGACAAAATATACAGGTTGTTTCATTGAAAATAAGGCAGCATTTTATTTCGAGAAATCGCATTTCTGTAAAACAAAATTTCAGCAAGTTTTGGGATTCGGCAATTATTGTGAGAAAGAACTTTTAAAAATTGTTATTCTCCCAGGACAAACCTCATCTCGTTATCTTTTTTCGATTTGAGTTATTAACCTGCAAAATGTATTAGCCAGAAATTGTTTTTGACGAAATTTAAGGTAAACATGAAATACATATTGTTTGTTTGAATCAGTTTTCAATGAAAGATAATTTTTAAAAACGGCAAAATCTCACCCTAACACGTCCTGAAATATTGGTACTGGTTCAGTTCGGAGCAAAGCAACATCTTCTGTGCCTTTTAATTAAAGCAAATGTGAGTTACTCCAGATGCTCTAGTGCTGGAAAAATTTTAAATTGAAATGTCTAATAATTCCCGCTTATCGAAATTTCGTTTTCTTTCGTCACCAACCTCTTTAAAGTTCGGCCACGTTCGCTGCACTGACTCGCGTCCAAGCGCAATAGAAATAGAATAATAAGCCCAAGTCCTGTTAACAGGAGATCAAAAATTAGTAGACGCGACTTACAATTTCTTGCGGTCTTGGAACATCCAAGCTGGGAACACACACAGCGTTTAGTGTTTTGCGTTTCGTGATTACACAGAGTACCTTCAAGTCTAAACGTTGTAACAGGAACGCATAAAAGTATACGCGGAATGCCTTTTCTATGACAAAATGTGCCTCTTTTCTCCAAAAACATAATGCTTTCCTATTCCCAAGCGCAAAACACAAGAGTGTTAAGTCCAAATATTTTATTAGGCACCCAGAAGTGAAAGCGAGATTATTTTCAAAGGTAAGTCTAGACCGGCTTCCTCACAAATTATTTCAAGTAAAAGTGACGTAAGTCCAAATTTTGTAAAAGGATATCAGAAACTTATATAGATGTTATTGTATACTCAATTTGAAGCTGCCTCTTTCTTGTCCCAAACAAGGAGTGCTTTTTACTTGGGTTAATATATAAGGAGATCAGAAATTTCTTGGGGTAAATAAATAATCCCAATCCCAGGAATAATAATTACAGTGAAAATGGCGACTGTGAAACGGGACCAAATTGCGTCCTTATTATTAGGAACACAGAAACATTATGTAATAGGTATTTGTGAAGGTGGATTGCTGATTTCTGTTGTGCCGCTGTTGCCGCAAAGTTTGCGGCTGCTGATGCAGCACAAAACGGTGTTACCTCCATATTTTATATCAGGAACACAGAAGAATAGAAGTATAAAATCAGATGTTTGATGTTTAGTTTGTGCCTGGTTGTTTTTCTTACCTCGAGTCTCCTTTCGACTTCAGCAATGTAGGATAAGTAAAAATAAAATAGTTGTGTCGTAACTTCGAGGAAGCCCAATTTTCCACCGTCTTGTTACCACTGGCCACTTTAATCAGTCCCATATGTTCTGCGTGCCACGGGCTGAAATACTGGTTCAGTTCGGATTCGTTTATATGGGATATCCCTTGGTACTTCAGTCTGTCTTTTATTTGGTGGTAACGGGTTTTATTGAAGACAAATACCTGAAAAAGAACGAGTATTGAAGTATAGCTAAAATTATCTGGTTAAAAAAAAATAATAATGATATGTAATAATTAAGAAAATAAGGTTTTTCATTGAAAACAAGCTAAGCGACCTTTAAAAGGATTGTACGCACACAAACCTCATTGTCAACTTAAAATAGTTTTGTTAACACGCATAGCATAGGTAAACCAATTCTTATTAAATATGCAAACAAGGTTTTCCGTCAATTCTTTATTATAGTTTCAGAATAATATTTTTGCTTTTGCTGAATAATATGACGAAAGTGTCTAGGTATACATAAAGTAAAAAGTCAAACCAAAATCGAACAAAGCCAAATAAATTACCTATAGGTGCACAAAAAAGATTAATTTTATGTTTGTCGAGACTTACCTATATAAGTTTAATTTATGTGAAAAAAATAAGACTTCAAATATTAGGTATGTGATAAGTTAGACATGATAAGTATTAAGTATGTTTTTTTTAAAGCTTAATAATTTAGAAGAATTAAGGTTTACCCTAATATGCTAATGTACTTGTATAGGTTGTACCTACATTGATTTGGTAGAGTGCGTATACTATCTCCAAAACTAAAATTACCTAATTGCTCAACAAAAAGATAGGTCTATTCAATTTCTCTCCTGATTTTAAAAATTAACTCTCCGAACTTTGAAAGTGCTGCCAATTATACTTTTGATTTTTATTTTCCAGTGGTTTCATTGGAATGAAAAAAAGACACCCAGAAATTGAGATTTTAGTTCTAGAAAACTTTTCTAGGAGCTTTCTAAGAAAAGCCTGCATCCTGCATTGTTTCATCCTTTTCAGGTCAGGTGAGAATTAGGAGGAATGAGTTTGGGCCGTTTCAGTATCGCCCAAGTTCGGTTACCCTTTCTGATTCGGAAATGCAGATAAATAGTATGGATTGTACATGCCAAGTCATTTTCCACAGCAAATTATGTTTTTTTTTTCAGTGTGAATCAAAATTTTGTACACGTAGGTATTCACTGGTATTCGCCTAATATTTTTTTTTCGTTGTATAGTTTTTTAGAAATTTGTAAAATGTTACATGGCTGGATCAATAATCTTTTCGTTTTCAAAAGAATTTTATAGTTTCCATTCTTTTGTCTACTTTCTGAAAAGCATCTAGTCTGTTCCATTTGCAGTAGTTATTTAGTTTCTGTTTGTTAATTTTTTGTGTACCCAGTGTTTCAAGAATTATTATTGTGTGCTAGCTAGCTTGCTTACCTAATCTTATGTTCAATGTTGTCACTGAAGAGAGTTTGAATGGAATTCATGTCACAAGTGGGATAATTAGCATGACAATTGTTATATTAATTTGAGATAATTGGTGGGAATACTAAGTAAACTTTTGCTTAATTGAAATATACTTAGTGAATTTAGTACACTGGTTTTGACATCGAAACAAGTCCAAATACCTATTTAGATATTTTTGTAGGACATTTCATCGTGTTATATTTGAGAATTAGACAAGGTACGGGAATGTTGTATTTTTAAAATCCAGGTAGGTATATGTAAAGACGTTGTTACTTGTTCAGCGACGTTTCGATAAAATATTTATAGTTTTCTTCAGGCTTCCAAATAACGTCATTGCTAAAATTTTAAAATGCGTATATAAAACCCAAAGCTGGATATAAAGTACTAGTGAAAATAAATTGAAAAATTCAAACAAGTCGCAGTTATACACAGGCAAATCAAGGTGTTGGTTTGTTCTGGTATATAAAGAAGATTTGAAAAAACTAGTGACTATTTTAACGCAGGGACGATACGACATAATGGAATTATAGAATGTATTCTTCAAAACAGTCGCTCTACAGAATCCCACGATGAGGAATACTACGACTGCTACGACAATAATTATTGAAATGAAATGTTTTAAGTTAGGTACCTACGCATCACAAATCTCAATAAATAATCGTATGGGTTTATTGTGTAAGTACTCTTTCTATGTGTTCAATTCTACATTTAGAAAAACGTCAAGATCATTAAAAACATTCGATTCCATTCATTAAGCTGGAAATAAATGGATTTTTAGATTTATTGAAAGAGATCACGTTGCACTTATCGATGTTTAGTGCATAGGCGCCGGAACTTCAAAATTACTATGGGGGCTCGGGCTCCAAAAAAAACACAGGTAAAATTATACAGACAAGACCAGTAGGCTACTAGACACATAGGCTTAAATGGGACCAGTTGACTGATACACATTCACTGCAGGATCGCCACGCTGGATCATCCGACTTTTTGAAAATACAGCTTTAAATACCAAAATATACCTACTATACAACAAAATATTCAAAGTCTTTGTTAAAGTAGGTATAGCAAAAACAATAAAAACATAACATAATGCACACAAATTTGACATAAAAATAAATAATTAGGAACTCAATATTTTTATAATTTTTGTACAGGGTGATCTATTATAAATGTCACCTCCTCCTAACTTTATCATTTGACGTTTTTGACAAAAGTGTCACATACAAAAGTTTCAAGAAATTGTCAAATTTTTTTAACTTATGGCGTTTTCGATTAGTAGATTCAGTGCGCACTGAGTTTATTTGTATCCTTTTAATCGACCTGTAGAAGAAAAAGACAGAAATAGAAAAAATTGCACTAGTTTCGCACTAGATCTACCAATCGGACACTCCATAAGGCAGTATCATGCATACAGGGTGCGTAAAAAAAGTGTAGCAGAGCGAACTTATATTTTTTTAAATTGAACACCATGTATATTGTGCGCTTATTTGTTAGCAAACTGATTCCAACGATATATGGTTTGATATGTTTATCTTCAATAGTTATAGCAAAAAATGTGAAAACCCCTTCCTAGGTCTCATGTTGAGAAGAAAGAAAAATTATAGATACCATTAAATAGCTTTAGAGAGAATTATTTAATATAAACAGTCTATTGTTCAAATGTTATTCATTAATTTACAAGGTGAAATCGAGGGTGAAATGTTGAAATAAAATCAGTTTTCTTGAGTTATTATTATTTAAAAAAAATTATGTACAGGGTGGTCATTTTATCTTGATAACATTTCAAACTGTCATTATTTTTTTATTCTTGAAGTTTTTTAAATAAATAAAAAAACATACTGTAGGGTTGTTCTCCAAGTTTTAGATAGGGTGGACAAAAAACAAAAGACTAATATATTTTGACAGTTATCCAAACGAGTAGCATTTTTTCAAATGGAACACCTGGTAAATTTTTAGTTTGTTTGATAATATGTGTCATTCTGATTGCACTATATACAATACAATACAATTGAATACAATTTACTTAATATTTACATGCAGAAATGTTTTATTTATTCTAATGGGAAATTCTGTTTACCTACCTAACTTTGCAGGTAATCTGTGTAGGTAATCAATATTTTCAGTTAGAATAAATAAAACATTTCTGCCTGTAAATATAAAGTGAATTGTATTCCAGTGTATCGTATTGTATACATTGCAATCAGAATAAAACATATTATCAAACAAACTGAAAAATTAGTGGGTGTTCCATTCGAGAAAATGCTATTTGTGCGCATAACTGTCAAAATATATTAGTCTTTTGTTTTTTGTCCACTCGATCTAAAACTTGGAAAACAACCCTACAGTGTGTTTTTTTATTTATTTGAATAACTTTAAAAATAAAGAAATTATGACAGTTTAAAATGTTATCAAGATAAAATGACCACACTGTACATGAAATAAAGAGGCTTTCGCGTTTTTTCCTATAACTATTAAAGGTAAACATAACAAAACGTATACATATTGTTGAACTCAGGTTGAAAGGTACTAACAAAATAGTGCACAATATACATGTTGTTCCATTTAGAAAAATATAACTTAGCTCTGCTACACTTTTCTGACGCACCCTGTAGGATGCTTAAAACTAACGTAGTTGAAAACTTTTGACAATTTCTGAAAGCTTTTGTATTTGACTCTTCTGTCAAAAGCGTCAAATGAAAAAGTTAGGACAGGTGACATTTATAATAGATCACCCTGTACCTACCTACAAAACTTTCTACATATATAATACCAAAATCTCTATGGGGGTTCTGCCCCCATAGCAAATTCACTATGGGGGCTCAAGCCCCCATTGCCCCCATGGTTCCGGCGCCTATGGTTTAGTGCCAAAAGATTATTTTCACACCTGTTGAAGAGATTGTCAAGTTCCCCTAGGCTCCATGAAACCCTATACTTTCAAGTTTTTTTTTTCCCAGATTTTTGTGGTCAACTATTTCAAACGCCTTCGAGAAATCGGTACATATCACGTCTACTTGATACCCCTTCTCCAGTGCATCAAAACAGTCTGCTCAAACTCTAAAATTCATTCACAAGGTTATGTTGTCGTTGACACCGATCTTTAAAATAGGGCAATCCAAACAAAATAGCGGTCAATGCATGGTCAATGCCAAAACATTGGCGCCATAAATTTAATTCAAACAACCGTGACATTTTTCATCAAAAAAACTGTTTTTTGTATATTTTGTGGTGTTTTTAGATGATTTTCTAGTGTTCGAAAGGATAATTTTTGTATTGTAAGATGGAAAGTTGTTAGTTTAGGAAACTATTAGTGGAAAACCCGGATCAGAGATACCCGGATGTTTGCAAAAGTTATGATTTCTTTGTGACAAACCTTTACCTGCTTAACAATTAGGTAAGTGCTATCCAGGATTTGTTTCCTGTTTAGTTTTTTCCTAACCAAATCCTGAATCCTGATGTTTATTTTATTTGTCTGCTATTCAAGTTATCGACACAAGCTGATGTCGAGGATAGTAAATGGCTTGGATGCATACACCATTTATGTAGAGAGACTTTTTGGTTTTTTAATATGGATTTCGTAAGATTTTTTCTCTTTTGCTACAATCCATGAAGCCCTCACAAAGTATAGACAAATCATTTTTCCCCGTTAAAAACCTGTGTTTTGTCTCTGCAGGAACGGCATGAAACTAAACTTTCTCGCAATTAAAACGGCTCCCACAACTAAGTAGTC